TCTACCGTTTCTGTCTCCTTAATCTCAGCTCCCTATTACCGGTAAGCAATCGAGGATTGCTCTGGGAGCCCTGGGCCCGTGAGGGAGGCCTGAGAGGGAAATACCATAGTTACTACGGAGGAGACTGGGTGGTGAGACCTTGGTCACCGCCCCTGCCCTGCAGACGGAGACCCTCACAGGGCAGCATGTGATGGGGGCCTGCGCGGAACTAACCGCGAGGGACCGCGACTCAACCACCCCGGCATTGACTGACAGTCTGCCCTGACAACACCCGGAACTTCTCCTAATTACCTCTCAAACGCTCCTCCTGCCGTGTCACTTCTGTTCCTCAGTGGAAAAACCAAGAGGCATCTCAGTTCGTCACCCCCCTTTCTCCGAAGCAGAATTAAGCTCAGGCAGAAGTCCTTTTTGCCAACTAGATCTGTGGGCAGAACACGTGGGGGCGGTGAGCTCGGCTCCCGAGTCAGATGCTCTAGCACCGTGGACAGTTTGCTCCACTCTTTAATTGGTCTCGGGCTTAATAAGGGTCAGGTCATTCTACTGATGATCACAACACTACCTCTGAGAGCTAACGTTCAGGATATGGTTAAGTTTTGTAAGGAAGATGCCCCAGGGCAGGGGACAAGGCTCAGGCAGCCAGACATGTTTCAGGTTCTGCTTTGATCCCCAGTGCTTTGGAAATCAGGCACTGAGTTCCTGTTACTTAAGTACTTGGGAGATGGAGGTAGCAGGATTGGGCATTTGAGATCAGTAACCCTCAGTTACAGAAGAAGCTAGAGTTAGCCTGGGCTCCAAGAAACAAAGGAAGCAATGGGCTGAAATGTTGAATTTAATTCTAAATTAATTCAGTAATGAATTGAACTTCTTGGATGCTTTGAGAAAATTTGTGATTTGAAACTACCAAGATTTTGCCAGCCCTGGGCCTGAGCTATACCGTGTTTGTGGTTAAAGGAGTCAGAAGCGTCCACCTGTGTCTAAGGGAACTAATGGGCCCCACTGAAGTCTGGGTTACCCCTAAACAGAACCGGCCCCTCTGCAGCACCCAGCAGAAACCACATGTGGTTCTCAGTGTTATGTTCACCTGAGAGAAGCGACAGCAAACCACTCTCACTAAATCTGTGGAACCCAAAGAAAATCCAGCATTCCTTTGCCCCTTTCATTTTTCTTTTCATTTTTCTCATTCTTTTTAGTTATTTGAAAAATTTGCTAACATATTCTGATCACATCAGCTCCCTCTACTAGCTCCACCCAAATATTTCTCCTCCTACCCACTCTGCCTTGGCCTCTCTCTCTCTCTCTCTCTCTCTCTCTCTCTCTCTCTTTCCCAATCTAGTCTGTTTCTGTTGCCCATAGATTCTCTGGTGTATAGTTTCCCTCTGGAGTATGGTCGACTAACCAGGGGACACTCTCTAAAGAAAACTGGTCCTCCCTCTCCTAGCAGCGATCAACCACCAATAGTCACTCACCCAGACAAGGACTTCAGGTCCACCTCCCCCCAGCATGCTCTACTTTTGCTTGGTTTGAGCGTGACGCTTCTTGTGCACGATGTGACAAAAATTGAGCTACTATGTACAGCTTCTGTCCTCTGTCCCCTCACCTCCAACCCACTCTTTCCCTAGACTCTTGTGCTGACTCTGGTTCTCAAGATCCTTCCGCCTCTTCCGCTGTCATCCCAAGCCCTGGGAGGAGGGGATGTGATGTGGATGCCACATTTAGGGCTGAGGTCTCCCTGGTCTCTTGTTCTCTGCGCCTCCACCAGTTGTTAGCCACTATCTACTGCAAGTGAGTTTCTCTGGGGAGGGCGGAGAGGCACATGAATGTGTGGCTCTGTGGATCACTCATTCGGACTCGAATACATGCCTGTTTATCAGAGTGAGAGCACTAGGTTCTTCCAGGGCCTATGATCTGTCTAGTCTCAGGCTCTTAGATTAATAACAGTGCCAGCTTTGAGCATTATCTTGTGAATGGATCTTAGAGCAGTGCCTCGCTACCTTCCTAATGCTGCAACCTCTTAATGCAGTTCCTCATACTGTGCTGGCCCCAAACCATGATGTTGTTTCCGCTGCTACTTCATAACTGTGATGTTGCTACTGTTATGAATCGTAATGTAAATATCTAATGTGTGACCCCCCCCCAAAGGGGTCACAACCCATAGATTGTGAACCATTGACTTAGACTCTTTCAAAACTTAATGATAAATGACCTTATTCACTTGATGTGGGAGGTCCTTCTGTCTATATGTTGCTTTTATTGGTTAATGAATAAAGCTTCTTTGGCCTATGGCAGGGCAGAATATAGCCAGGCTGGAAGATAAAAGTTACATAATAAGAAGCCTGAACTAATAGATCAAACATTGTTGGAATTAATATAGCTTCCATGTGATTATTTGGGTCAGGGCGGCTGGGAAACAAACAAGCACCCCCGTTCACATACACCACTTTGTTTTCACAAGTCATAATGAAGGAGCAACCGTCCTGACTTAGATGGCGGGTTTTTGTTGTTATTTTGTGTTATTTTATAGACTGTTAAGTGCTTGCTGTGGGCTCTGTGCTGTATGTGTGTCTGTGTGCCTACCGTGAGAAGCCAACCAGGCTGCCTTGGCTTACCAGTAGCCACAGTAAAGAGGTTACACCTGACTTTTCTTTTGAGCCCACTCCCTCCTAACTTTACAAGAGCTTTTATTCACGACACAGAGAGGAGTATGGCTGGTTCACATGCACTCCAAGGTGTGTGGGGGTCTGTGTGGCTCTTCAACAAGAAACTTAGGAAGCATTTACACAGCAGTTGGGCAGAGAGCACTGAGCTCCATCCAGCAGGCCCCCGCTCTTCCAGAAGCAAGTCTGGCCTGGGTGCTGTGAGCTTCAGCAGAGGTCTGCCCGGCTGTCTTGATTTTCCAGAAGTGGAGTCTGGTTTTGGTCATACCTGGAACTCTACTCATTTGGTCAGGAGGCAAGGAAGATCATACATGTGTTAGTATAAGGTCTTGCAGCGACTCTGCAACCTCAGATGGGATGACAAGTGCCAGTGATCAGCCTGGACACAGAGTTTCTGTCAAAGCCTTGTTCCACCCCGGAAGAGAGCCATGATTCTTTCTGTTGTATGAACTCACAGGATTTCAGTGCTGTGTCTGGGAAGCTAACTGTAGCATTCTGAGCTCGGTGATGTAAGGTCCCAAGGCTGACAGAAAGCAAACAGCAGAGAGGCCTCTGAGCGCTCAGTGCCACACAACTCCAAAGGCCTCCAAGGAGCCGGCATTCTTCTAGGCCAATGACAGAATTCTCTGTTACCTTTCCTTAGAGATGTCATTACAGCTACAAACCAGAAGACTTTACAAAACCCCTAACAACCTAAAAGGCAAGCTGTACACAAGACCTTTTGGTGCAGAAGAAACCTGTGATTGCCTTTGCATCCCAATAGCTTGAAAGTGTCCAGAGCAAAGAATGCTACACACGTGAATAGAGACGGGAGATGATAGGTCAACACATGAACCCCGAACCTTCTCTGGGCTTTCGTCTTCACGAGCATCTGGTGGGATCTGCTGAGCAGACCAGGGGAGGATTGCATGATGTGAGGGAAGGAGCTAAGGTACCACTCTCTTTTTTACCTGTTACTGCCAAGCTTGTACACTTCCTTATCCACATCCTCTCAGCATGTGCAGAGGCCTGGGCTGGGGACCGTTATTGCCAGGTTGTATGATGGGACACACACACACTTCTGTCACCCAGGGAAGGCTCTCAGGGCACTGACTCTGTCTTGGTGGTTTGTTACACTGGACAGAGGCGACCTGGGAACCACCTGATATGTTGTCATAATGAGCATATCGACTTGTCATTGTTTGATTTTATTTATTTTTAGATGTATTTATGTTATGCTATGTATATTAGTGGTTTGCCTACATGTATGTCTGTATGCTGTATTCATGACTGATGCCTGTAGATGTCAGAAGGGGCGTTAGATCCCCTGGCACTGGAGTTACAGTGGGTTGTGATCCACTGTGGGGTTGTTGGGAAGCAACCCCAGGTCTTCTGCAAGAACAAGTGCTCTTAACCTCTCAGCCTTCTCTCCAGCCTCTTATTTTTTATTATATTTGTTTATTTTAAAATTAATTTTGTGTGTGCCTACATGTATGATCAGAGGACAACGTGAAGGGGTGGACTCTCTCCTTCTGCTGTCTTGGCCCCAGGGACTGAGTTCCAGGTAGTCAGGACAAGCAGCAGGTACCTGCCTGCACACACCTATCTTTCTCGTTCTTCCACTGTTCAGGGGAATGTTTGAAAGCTCAAATACAAAGAGAACGTTCTGGTTTCCCCAGACTATTTTTATGTTCAAAACTCAAACATTAAGCAGGAGATAAATCAAGACAAATAGTTTAGAAAATTGGGCCATCCCTCCTCTTCTGAGAGTACATAAGGAACTCAGGGGGGACCGTGTTCTAGTAAGGGCGTTGTTCTCATCACCAAGCTGTTGCAGGTGGAGACAGCTCTGAGCGTTGACCTTGGATTCCATGTCCGCCTCAACTACATAATGCTCATGGGTTTCTAGAGACACGTGCTGGTGTTGACATCCTGCCCGGTCTGAGGTTTTCTTTTTTCTTTTCCAAAAGAAGTAGAAATATATAATGCAGAAAATACAGAGATCACCTGCCTGGGGCTCTTACATACCAATATGCACACATGTGACCCAGATTGACATTTCTTTTTGTTCTCAATACCGATTAAGATATGGTGACAGACTTCATCACACACACACACACACGCACACAGGAACCATGTAAGTATGTTCCCCCTGCAGCTATCCTCATGGGACCTTCACAGAGAGTCACAGCTGGAGGGTTGATGTGTGGTGGAGAGGTTGACCCTGTTTAGGTCAGTTTGGGAAGTTTTTCTGTTCTTCTAGAAGAGAGGCCATGTAAAAACACGTTTGTGCGGGCTCCAGGTTATGTGAGCCAAAGGAAGCCACAGATGGATGGAGACCAAAGCAAGCCCGGGCCCCAGCCGTACCTGTGCAGATGAAGCTGGAGAGGCCTCCGTAGATGACTTCGTCATTGTCGGGCAATATGAACGGACACCTGGTCTGCACCTCCAAACAATATTGCTTGCATGGAATTGTCTTTCTGCAGTTAAACTGTGTGACTTCAAAATACTGGGAGCAGAGCCAGGCTTTGTAGACAATCTGAAAAGAAAGGAGAGAAGAATCAGCGTTGTGGAGGGAATGCTACCGCTGCGTCTCTTGTTAGGGAAAGGCTCGACTGGGAGAGTATGCTTGTTTTCACACAGGTCAGGAGACAGCTCAGAGGGCGCGTGGTTTATGCACTGGCCGTCTTGACGAGGGAATAACGCTATGAGTATCTGCAGTGAGAGCTAACGGTATTGGACACAGTCCCACAAGAGTGAAAAGTATTTAATTGGAAGCACCCTGGATTTGAGCAGAAGTTAACATTTTCAGGATTCAGTGGTATATGAAGTAAAGACGCAATAAGCCCCCTGTTCTCTCTGCTAACTCACTGCCTTGAGCCGAGAAATCCAGTGGCTTCCCCACCTCTCCCACGTCTCATACCTCGCTTGGACACTAGATGGCGCTAAGGGCTTTACAAGGACGACCCGCAGGGAATGCAGACGCTTGTGAGCTGGTTACAGCCTGCTTTCCCCAACGCACAGAGCGACAACAAAAATATGGGTATTTGCGTTGGTGACTCACATAAACGCACCAAAAAACCTCACCCAAAGCGAAAACACTCAGCACAGATCAGACGTAATATGCTCCACTTGTTTAGAGGACAGAGGGTCCCTTCACCAGGGCCTGACCTTTTACCCAGTGTGATCTATGTTTGCTAAGTATTTACGTCATTTACTAACATGTGGCTTCATTGATCTCTTTCTGTGTGGTGGCTACTGGAGGGAGTACACATCTGAAAATTCACTTTATTTTTTCTGCCATGAACTAAATCTAAATTTAAATGAAGCAGCATAGATCAGTGAAATCCGTCCCGTTCCCCCTCCCCTCCCCCCCCCCCCAGGTCTTTAACAACAGTGGAAGATTCTGTTTGTTTCCAGGGGGTAAATAACACTATTAAGGTAACGTTTCGTGTATTATATTCTACCTTGAAAAATGGATAGTTTAGCATTAACTGTATATCAATGTGTCTGCGTGTCAAATTTTGGCCTGTATACGTCTGCTCTTTACCCACAGACAACAGCGTGGCATAGCCTCTCATCCATCCTTTCCCTTGGCGTTGCCTGTCTGAGCCAGACACACGTTTATTCTGCCTTGAACTTATTTCCAGTTCAGATTTTTGTTTTTGCTTAAAGGAGCCAGTGAGCGAGCAACAGGAGCAGCTTTTCTCACCATCAGACTGAAGGGTGCAGACAGAGGAGCGCCACTTCCGACAGTGAGCTAGCCTCACCCGTGGCCAGCTTCCATGCTCTTCAGGGCTGTGAGGGACCTGAATGTTTGGATACGCCACAGACAACTCCCACTGGAGAAAGGGCATTTCGGTACCGAAATCAGTCAGAGGAAACCGTGTGAACAAAACAAAACAGCGAGGACAGAGAAGAAATATTTTAGCGTCACTTGAGAGATTAAGGCAGAGGAACAGTTTTTATATAATGAAGGAATTATCTTTTCCCCGTGCAGACATGTTTGTGATAAAGGAGGCAACACAGGCACGGAGGACATTTGCTAGAATCTTCCAGCATCAACCGGGAAAGATGTGCTCAGGAGAGAAGGCAATTCCGTACTCTTGCAAAAAAAAAAAAAATGACTTGAAAAATTATAAACAGAACATGCTGGAAAGAATCTGGAGAGTGTACTGGGAAGAGTGGACTCAGGCCTGGGAATACACCACTAAGTGAATTGTATAACGGACGGGTGCCTGTAACTGTCCCTGCTCTCCCAGGGAGCTGCTGTGTGCTGACCATGTGCCCGTGACAATATGCCTATAGCATGGTTAATACAAACCCAGAGACAGAAATTGGGGTTCAACCTGAAGGTCAGAAAAGCAAAACAACCAGCCACTGGCTCTTACCTCTCTACCTCAGTCCAAAATGACAATCCTACCTCCAGGAATCTCAGAATGTGACTGTGTCTGAGAGCTGTCTCCTCCCGTCTTTATATTCATCTTCAGTGCTGGGCTTAAAGGCATGCACCACTACCACCTGGTTTCTATGGAGAACTAGTGTGGCTCCTGGGATTAAAGGTGTGTGCCGCCACTGGCTGGTCTGTAAGGCTGACCAGTGAAGCTGTTTTATGTTCTGAACTTCAGGCAAGCTTTATTTATTAAAATGCAAATGAAATATCACTACAAACACCTTTACTTATGTATTCACCCTCTTTAATGTGGGGTCAAAGTGGCAAGGTATTCTGAGAGGGGCAATGAGGCACGTACATCTAGGAATAACCAATTAAAAAAAGGACTTCTCCTTGTCATAAAAAATAATACAAATCAAATTTATGTGGGCAATGGAAGATGTATCAGGCAGATTGCTAATTCCGTGCAAAGCAGTGACGATCAGCTTCTGTGAGCTGATGGAGGGAAGAGCATTCTGTGATAGAGAGAGACCTGGGTCTGGCAAAGGGATCAGAATAGGGAGAAGAGTGACTGCAGCAGAGAGGAGCAGAGTAGGCCAGAGTGTGCTGGGGACGGTGAGGTGAAAGCCCTTGACCGGTGGTGGTCGGGCATTTTCCATATGCACACCATGCAAATTCCCTCACTCCACACATGTAAACCAAGCTCAGAGAAATCACACCATCTGGACACAACCCCACAGCAGATACAACAGCCAGGGGGGGGGGGTGTTTGATGGTCTTACCCCAAGCCCCACTCCACACATGAAAACCCAATCACAGTCTACACCACGGTCATGTGAAGGTCAACATCAGGTCATGTTACTCCATGACTGGCGTTTGGGGGCCGCACCTCTTCCAAGCGGGAATGGATGGTGTAGCCCTGAGATCCTTGGTAGTCCAGAGTTCAGACCTGCCTGTGCTTTATATTCAAGGCCAACCCAGACGACTTAGTGTGACTCTATCTCTAAAACACAAACAAAGGAACAAAAATGAAAACGGGCCAGGGATGTGAGGCCATGCTAAAGGTCTTACTTAGTTGTGTGAGGACCTGTTACAAAAAAAAAGCAATCAGAAGAAAAGGAGAAAGAAAAGGAAAAGGAAGGAGAGAAAAAGAAGAAACATGCCTCCTCTAGGGTGAGCCTTGGATGTGGAAGTATGTTCCGCACATCTACCGTTGTTCCGCAATATCCTTCTGCCAGGGGCACACACAGCCACCCCCCACAGTGAAAGACGTAAAGTACGGCAGAGGCTCACAACATTTATGAGTTTCTGACACAAGCTTCAAACTTTATGAATTGCTGACGTGAATAATGATTTAGCTAATGAGGAAGGAGCCAGAGATGTACCTGGAATTGTCTATTACCCAAATTAACAACCGCCTCCAATTAAGAAGTGTATCTGTCTAGCTCTGACTCTCTAGTGCGCTTGCTCAGTCCCTCTCTCTCTCTCTCTCTCCCTCTCTCTCTCTCTCTCTTTCTCTCTCTCTCTCTCTTCCACTCTCTCCCTCACCCAGTTACTCCATTACCCAGATGCAGAGTCAATTGTAGACATTTTCAACAGACTTTGCTGAACATTTTTAGTATGCCTTTCTACACATTTATGTGTTTTAGAATATTTTCCTTACATAAACACGAATCAGTAAAATACCCAGAAGACTTACGAGTGTGTTCATTGTAAGACAGGGTAAAACACACCGGCTTCCCAAGTTGGCGGGAGACTAACTGCAGTGTGTTGGTCGGGCGTTTATGAGACGCCTGGCTCGGCTGAACTGGGATTCTAGTGTCTTACGCTATGAGATAAATCATGTAAATTCTCAGTTCTGTTGCATAAACACGTAAGATGGAGAGCTTGCTTAAATTATAGAAGACGGTTTTAATGAGTTTTATCTAAATGACCATATGAAACAATCCTGCCTCCTCCCTACTCCTTCTTCCCACCCCCACCTCCAAAGACAAGAACCATGTCTGCTGACTCACTGATGGAGTTGTACAGGGACAGTGGGTGAGGCTCACCCTCTTTCTGAATGAATGACTCAGTGAATGAATGAAACCAGGTCTGTCCTGATGAAGTTGCATGCAAAGGGGTCACGACTTACGCGGGCTAAGTTTGGCCTTCCTATTCTAGGCAGGGAGATCCACTCTTTCTGGCCAGTCTTAGCCTTGTCCTATTTTAATCCGGAAACGGATGGGCTCTGTGTCCTTTGTTGCCCCGCTTTTCAAGGCAACCGAATTAGGCTAAGCAGCAGAGCTCTGGATGAAGTGTGAGGCTGTTGCCTTGCTCAGTGATGACAGTCGTTCACACTGCTCCCCTGTGCCCACAGGTGTGACTCAGCAATTTCTATAACCACCCCCATCGCGCACACGTGACCACAAGTACACATATTCAGATAGTGTTCCGGATTCAGTAAAATACAGTTAATAACTCATTCAGTGTGTCTTAAGTGCTCCATCCACTTTGGGTCACAAAAGGAAGGGGCCACATTCCTGTATTTCTTCATAAATGGTGAAATTCAGAAAACATATGTTTTCAGCAGCTTAAACCCCACAACTGCCCAGAAAATCAGGAAAAAAAATCAGATAGGCATTTTAGGTAAAATGGAAGAGAAATTAAGTTATACAAATTAAGATGGATGATTAAGTTGAAAGACAGGACTTCGGAATTCTCCCTAGAATATTTCTGACAATGGGTCTTGGCTGGTTATTTCTTGTTTTCCATTCCCCCTTTCCAATCTCATTCCTGGGAAGTTGGTAAGACATAGACATTTCCTGTTCTCTGAGGGCACAGGACGAGGAGAAAAGGGAGGGTGGTGTTCTTCAGAGCTAATGCAGAAAGAGACACCTCTGGTCTTGGACTTGTACTGTAAGCATGCTGAGATGCAGCCCCAGGAAGGCAGGCAGCTCTGCTTCTCCTGTAGAAGCAGAAAATGAAACATTTCTAATGCTCTCTTCTGTCTTATCCAAAACCAGATACCCATCAGATAGGCATTTTAACAACAAAAACAACAAAATGTACTGTTGAAGAACCATTATCACCACCGTGGCATAATTATTGACAACTCTGACAGATGGGAACTGTCGTCCTTGCAAACAAGGGTCCTGGAAAACTGC